GTTACGTTTTACAAGACTGCTTTAGCAGACTGGAGGCTCTCCCTTGTTGGCTTGGAAGAAGTGAGCCTCCATGTTTTGGGAGAGCCTGTGAGCAGGCCATTGGCAAAGGATTATGGCAAGCCTCTAGGAGCTGAGTGGCCCTAGGCTGACAGCCAGCAAGCGAGTGGGGGATCTTGGAAATATACCCATGAGGAAATGAGTTCTATTAACCACGATGTGAGCTTGCAGGAGCACCCCCAGAATCCAGAAAATAATGCAGCCCAACTAACACCTTGGTTGTAGCCTTGTGAGATCCCAAGCAGAGGATCCAGCTGAGTTATTCTGGACTCCTGATCCTCAAACTATAAGATAATAAATATGCTTTTTTAAGCCACTAATATGTGTCAATTTTTAAGCCACTAATATGTGGTGATTTTTTATATACAGTAGAAAACTAATACAAGCATCTTTCCTTTCAGGTAAAAAGGATATCAACCCTTAGCATTTTTAGGGCTAAAGAACATTGAAAAGTATTAAAGCGATACTTTTGAAGATACATTTGAATTTAATGGATACTTAAACCGAATATAATTCAAGGCTGTGAAGGAAAAGGAAGCAGGGAAAGATTTAGTGCAGGAAGAAGCCATGTATCCAGAATATACAGGCCTAACTATGTGCACTTACCTGTCATGCTGTGTCTTAAAAGATGGGAAGAATATGCTATAAATTATTAATCAATGAGAGGAAATGCCAAAGACGCATAGCCATATTAAAAGTTAATGCTCCAGCAGACCATTCATGATCACCTAAAATTGAACTAAAGTTTGCTTGATTTTGAAAGACAGAAGCAAAGCAAGTTTATGAATCATATATCTATATCTCTGTGTCCATATATCTATATCTATATCTCAATACTTGTATGCCCTTCCAGGTCAGTAGTTCTCAAATGTGGCCTTCTGTTAGCTATCTGTTAAAATGGAAACATTTGTTTTTTAATTAAAAAGTTCAAAAAGAAAATAAAAGGATTCCTAAGCATCACCCCAGATTAAACTGAATCAGCATCATTGGAGGTAAGACCCGTTACTGCTATTCCCACCCCCACAAAAATCACACCCACCAAAGACTTCATAAGGTTCCGATGTAGCCAGTCTAACCATTGACATCTGACATGATAGGACTCATTGCAATTAGGTCAATTCTTTCTGTGATTGAATCACCTGTACCTAGGATCTTATACATTCAGTCCAGTGGTTCCCGGCCTAGGCTGCACATTATAATTACCCGGAGAGCTTTATAAATCCTGATGCTCAAGCTTCTTCCTGGAGCAACCATCTCAGAATCGCCAAACATGGTACCCAACTGTTTGTAATTGTTAAAGCTCCCCGGATGATTGCCACATGCAGTTTAGTTTGAGACCACTGGTGTGTAGATAATACCTTATATTTTTCTGCATCCTTCCTAATACATAGTTATGTGGCTCAAAAGCCAAAACCCTGCCTGGGAGGTATGTAGGCCAACCATAACCGACCCACTTTGATGAAACAATATTGAGGTTGACTATTTGGGGCCATACTATAAAAGCTCCTGTTTCTTTAACTTCAGATTTGTTATCTTAATATCTCAAAAAGCATAACAAAAAACCCAAACCTGTGTAATGTAAGTATCATTATCCAAATTCATAGAGACAAGGACATACAGGTCACTGATTCAGAGGGAACTGCCTAAATACCTAAGACGTGGACCCAAGTATGAGCGACACCAAAGGTTATGCTGTTGGCACTATGCCAGTGAGTCTCAAAATGTGATCCCTGGATTAGCAGCGTCAGTGTCACCTGAAAACTTAGGAAACCTTCAAATTCTCTGCCCCAACCTCAGACCTACTCACTCATCATCTTTTGGTCTGAGGTCCAGAAATCTGTGTTTTAACAACCCCTCCAGATGATTCTGAGGCATGCTAAGAGTTGAGTAACACTGTGCTACAGTCTCCATTTCTATCAGTTGCCTACTTTTAGAGACTCAGTTCAGCCTGTGGTAAGAGAAGTAAAAATATGGAGGTGACTCAGTGGGCAGTGGGTAAGACAGGGTGAGGGGCTGATAAATTCTCTCTCACTCTCTTTTCTCCCATACCTCATTTTATTAATAATCTGTGTTGGAAATGAGGAGATGCTACAGAGATATAGTGCTAAAGAAAGACAGGGGGACTCTGGTTATCTTAACTTGTTAAGGCGCCTTGTTATGTTCAGCCACTCCGATCTAAGTGTGACTATTTTAAGATGCTGATGAATACTTTATCCTTTTAATCAAAATATGGGGAGTTTCAAAAGGTTTCATTAAAAATAAATATCTTAATTGGTTCTAGGGAAATGAAGTTTTGATCTTCAGGGCTTGACATAATTGATGTTCAGGAAACCAAAGGTAGTTGGTTTACTTTCTCTGATGCCAAGCTGGTTCAGATTGCTGCCATCCTGTAAAACATGGGTGCTGTTGACCTGCTTAAGTGTCTCTCTTGCTTTATTTTAGGGCATTTTTTATTGAGTTGTATATTTGACTAGGGGAAAATAAACAAAAATTAAAAGACCACTCTTGTTTGGATTTATCAGAGGCATTGATTAATATTTTCTGAGAAAACTGTGAAATTGTTTCTTTTAAAGAAGCATATAAAATACGTTTTGGGCACATAAGGTCTGGTGTAAATTTATGTCATGGGAAGGGTGAGGGGTCAGAGCAAACGAGGAGAGAAAAAAGAGAAAAATAGAGAAAGGGGAAGGAAGGGGAAGAAATGAAAGAAAGGAGACAAGAATTTACAAGAGGAAGAGACAAAGAGGTAAAAAAATAGGGAGAGAATGGAGGAATGAAGAGAGAGAGAAGGGATCAGAAAAGTAGGAAAGAGGGAAAGAAAAGTTGGAGAGGGAGGGGAGAAAAGGGAAAAAAAAAGAGGACCATTATGCAAAGGAAGGAAGGAAGGAAGGAAGGAAGGAAGGAAGGAAGGAAGGAAGGAAGGAAGGAAGGAAGAACGAGAGGAAGGGATGCAGACTTTGGAGCCTGGCCAATATTTTCTGAACTGCTACCTGGAGAAGACATGCTGCAGGGATGCCAATCCTAAGATTAATGATGGCAGTAATCATGATTTCAATTTGCAACAAATGGGATGAAAAGCTTCCAGACCCCACATGGAGAGACCTACGGTGATGGCAGTGGGGTGGTAATGTAACAGCCATCTAGGAATACAGGGACGCTGGGAGGTTGGATTAAGTTCTCCTTTATTCAACAACCATTCTGTATCCAATGTTAAAAAAGGAATGTTTTCTTACTACAAGATCTTTGAATTAGAGCAAAAGAGTTTAGATGTTCACAGGAATGCATTTGAAATTCTATTCTGTGATTAGCCTTCCTTTAACATTTATTTTTGGCCAAGACTTGGTCTTTTTCACTTCTCTCCTTTCCCAGCCTTGCCGCTCAGTGGTTTGCTGCTGTTAGTGGTCAGTGCAGCTGTCTCATTGTAAGTCTTGCTCACTCTGAAGTCTGCAAACTGTGGCAGCTTAGGCCTAACTGATAATTTTCTAGCCTAATTTTCAAAGCCTCTTCTTCTTTATGCATGTTTATCTATATGGGTCATCTAGATTCCTTTTAATGAGAGTCTTGTCTGTATAGTAAACACCCATCTCTATTATGTCTCCCCCCTCCCCACCCAGTGGACCCCCACAAGGGCCTGGGTGTTAGCAGAGGGCTAGGTTTTTTGATGGAGTAATGAGGAGAGAAGAATTTAGAAAGTGCAGGCAAGGAGAGTGGTGAGGAGCAGAAATGGGACAGAGAGAGACCCCGTGGGATCAGAGAGATGGTGGAAGGCTGTCTGCAATATGCACGATGGAACCCTATAAGTATGTTCTGAAAAGGTCAACTAGCGTTACAAATTCTCTGAGCATTTTTTTGTGTGTGTGGATATAAGAGAAGTGGTGAAGTTTCTCATATAGCCTGCATGAGGTTGGACAGAAGATGTATTTGAAGTGGTCATATTTGAAGAGGCTGGAATTGGCAGAAATCTTTGGACACTATAGACTTCTCTGATACTCTTTTACTTCCATGGAGTAAGGGCTCTTAGGGCACGGGTTTGGGGTGGAATCAAGGCAATTTAATTTAGATCTCAAGGGGCCCCTATAACAACTATGGTTTACACATGTGTGAGAACACAATACATGTTGGGTTATGCTTGCCATTTGATACACAACTATTGATACTTTTAAAGATGAATTGCTTTCCAATAGATTCAAAATAGCAAGTCTTCTCTCCCTATTCTGACCATAAGCTCTTTGAGGGCAGAATCTTCTCTTCTCTGGCTTTTGAATAACCTGCAGTATCTGGCTTCATATACCTTCACATACCAAGGGTTCAATAAGCGTGTGCCTGATAGATTGCCTGGACCAATCATTTATTGTCAATCTTCACTCTCTGGTATGCACGGACTATCACTCCTTTTGAAGATGATTCACTCAGGAAACAGTATCATAGTCACATCTGGACCACAGAAAACTGGATGTAGGGACCACCTACCAATACTTATGGTCTAGAGTCATTTGCAGCATGGTGTTTTAGAGACTATCAAACTTATTGTGACTTTTCTCCAATGCTAGGAATGAAGTTCCTTGATGCACCCCAATCTATCGTCAATATTCAAGTCAAGCACCAGAATATAGTTTAAAAATGAAGAAGACCATTGGAGCTTATTGAAATGATGTCATTATAACTGAAAAAGAAAAAATAAATTCCAACTGAGATTTGAACTGAGTAAACCTTTCTTTTTTACTCATCCTGTTTAATGCACACCTACATTGTATGCGCACTGGGGTGCCAAAGTGAATCAAAGTTCAAATGGGTATTGACAATATTCACATCTAGGACAGATTGGCATGAAATGTACATGTGATAGAGCTCTCACCAAACTGTATATGTCACCCTTTCCCCCCTCATGTCTCAATACTCCCCTGAGAACCTGGTGAAGGTAAAATCAGAGAGAAAATTCTTACATTCTTAAATCCTCTGTAAAGAATCTGGAGCTCTTTCTTGGTAAATTTGCTCTGGGCTTCCAGAAGTTCAAGTGCCTCAGGCCGATGCCTGACAGTAGCCATCTCCAGTTCATCTTCCACGCTGTCTGTGGAGAAAAACAAAATAGAGTCTTAAGATCAGTCATGGCTCACCGAAGCTTATGGAATGATTCTCACACTGCCAATCACGGGTCTTTCTGTTTTCCAGAGTTAACAGTATTAAGCTAAGCTAATTCTACGTAACATTTTTTTCATACTTTCAAGTCATTACACATTACAATACTAGCATTTTTTTTTCCAGTACAGTTTGAGAAGTGCAAAAACAAAACAAAACACGAACACTCTTAAAACCTGGGATTTGGGTGCATATACCAAGGAATAGCTACAAAAATGGAATTTTAGTTCAATAACAATCAGCATCACCCTTGTATCATGTACTTAGGAGATAAGACTCTACTAATGCTCAATGAGGATCCCTCTGAAATCAAATATTTTTCCTGGGACTACAAATAGTTGTCAGACCAAGTGCTGAGTAATGAGCTGCCTGTTGGAGAGGCATAAACCCAGTCTTCACGGGGGGCACACCAGATGGACCAGAGCTTAGGGGAATTTCTGTCTAAACCCTATTCTGCAGCTAATGGGAGCCATAGCTACAGGTGCATCCTAAAACACTGCACTTTGTGAATTGTATTTATACTGTCATTTCTTGTATATGCTCTATGCAAAAAGAATTTTGAGTCCATATGAACTTGGGAAATCTTGTAAACGTTAAGATAGTTTGTGAGCAAAACAGGAATATCAAGGTTTTGAGAGGACTTACAATAAAGAAGTCTGCTTAACCCAAATGATCCCAAAGGGTATTTGTTCATAGAGCCCTTTTCCCCCACAAGAACCTTCTGGAACATCTGCATATTTACCCTAGGGTCATATAGAACCGAGGGAGGTACTGGGATATATTGGGAGCTGGGTGTTTAGGTCTCAAAGGGAAGCATCCTTAATTAGGTCCAGCTCCTTTGCAGCGGGGCTCAATGGAAACCTAAGGAATTCTTCCTGCCATAGCCCAGGCCACACCTTGGCTAAGGAACCCTTCAGGGATAGAAGCATCCAGGCCCAGTACTAACGCCATGACTTCCCTCCATTATATTCCTTCCTTTTGGCTACCGATTCCCACCTCAGAGGGGTGAGGGCTCAGGACAACAGCTTCTTCTTATCAACTCTGGTCCCAGGGCCACTAGCATTTCCAGTTGCATGTCTCGTATGGCAGTTGGAAATATAGTCATGTTGACTACAAAAGTCACATCACTTTTGATACTTAATAATGTCTCCTCTCTCTGACACCGGTACCTACTTACTACCCTGTCTCAGTGCAGTGAGGGGCCAGAGCCCTCACTTAGCAGGGAAACGAAGGTCTGGGAAGGCTAACCTTGGCACGTCCTCATCACTGCCCTCAAAGAGTTTACAAAAGACCAATAACGGTGATGAAGCAAATACTTGGAAAGATTGTGTTTGTCAAAATGAGGAAGAGGAGGTAAAAGCAAACATTTATTTTGTACTTTCCATACCATAATAATTTACTTTGGAACAGTGATATGGAAAAGCTGCAGCATAGTGATGGATGGATCAGAATAATAAAAGAGGCATGAAAACATGGGAAGACCAAGAATAAACTCTGAGCTGACAAGGATAAAATTGATGAGAAAGTAAGTGGAGTGTGCGTCTAAAGGGTGGGAAAAGGATAAAAGGAGCTAATCACAGGCAATTAGGCATTAAAACTTGACCTCAAGCTGGGCTTCATGGAGAAAGTAAAACAGTCAAAATGGCGCTCCTTTAATTTTCTCCTTTGTTCATCGGAACGAATAATTTGATTCTACTCAGTGGGCCCCAAGCTAGCGAGAATGGAGAAAGATGGCCCTCCCTAGGATTGCTGTTCATCCAGTGAATTGGACTGTGCTGTAGTTATTGTAGTTGCCAATGCAGGAATCAGTGTCACAGAACAGACCCAATACGGTATATGTGCTGCCAAAGCGAGCACCGAACAGACCTAATATAAATAGGTAACAACGAATCGAAAGGTTCTGATGTAAGCGTCTCTGAATCATTTACAGTATACTTTCTTCAGTTTAAAATATCCCTCTTTCCCCTTTTCACCTATTGAAACGTACGTGCCTTTTATGATTCAATTTAAATATCACACCCTCCTCTCTGAAGCTTTTCCGAATGGCTCCACCATACAGAGCTGACGGCTTCCTGGTCAGGGTTCTCATGCCCTACCTCCCCCTCACATAGCATGCAGATCATAAATAACACTGTGGTCTGTTCATGTCTGTCTCCCATTGTGAGCTCCTTGGAGGCAGGAGAGCATCTTACAGATCTGTCTCTCCTCTGGCCCTGACACCGAGTCTGACACCACGCAGTCACTCAAGAACTATTTGGGACATGAATGAATGAGTCAATAAGCAGATGCTGCTGCTGCTAAAGTTTCCCTTCCTGTGGAGCCCCTTGACCCTTAGCCGCCCTCTAGAAAATGATTTCTCAGACGGAGGCTTGTGCGCCATTGGTGGACCTTCAGTGCCTTCTCTGGAATCACTGTGTTCTCTGGGCGTTGTTCCGAGAAGCAAAGGCAAAAGCAGAGGAAACTTTAATCAGATTTTCTGAGCCGTCTTTCAATCATAACATAACCTCCTCTAGATCCAGTGACACTTCCGCTGAAAAGGAGCAGAACAACACGCTGACTTCTGGCTCCTGTTACCACACAGCCGTCGGAAGCACACCACCAACTCTCTTCCCCGGCTGCCATGTACTTGGAGATGCTGAGGCTGAGACAGAAAGGCCCAGGGCCGGAGGGTCAGCGTAGCTGAGTTAAGTGCACGTGACAAGAAGAGCAGCCCTGCCGCAGTCAAAGCACCGGACCTGAAGTGCCTGCCTCTTCTCTCGTGACCCCAGCTGCCTGGTACCTTAATCCTTAAGGACTCCTATCTGCCAAAGCGCTGTTTCTATTTCTAGGAGGCTGACAGGCTCTAAAAGCATACCTGAAATCATCAGCAATTACCAGCTTATGATAAGTTAAAAAAGCAACACCACCGAACTCAATCAAGACTCTGATTTCCGGAGGCAAACCCTGTGGAGCGCACAGCATGGTGCTGCACGGGACTGTGAAATTCACATGCGGCTCAGCCACCAGTGAGGACCACACATTTGGAGGGGGGGGTTAATACAGTTTAATACGGTGCTTAACCTTTATTGAGCTCCTATTGTATGCCAGCAGATGGGCTAGGTGCTCTAATCCTTGCACCAACTCCACGATGAGGTGTGATTGTCCATGTTTTTAACATATATGGATACCGAGTCTCATAGAAGTGAAAAAATGACAGGTCAGATTAGATATAGGAGAAAAGAGTAGAGAAAGGATTTACACCCAAGTCCCTGTTGCCGAAGCTTCTGTTCTTTGTACTTGGCCACACGCTCTCTCAACACCAACAGAAATAATGATAAAAATAACCACAACATCTCTCCTTTCCTGCATTGCCAAATGCCTTAGAAAAGTTGATTTTACCCACTGGGTCCATTTCCTACCTTCTGCGCTCTCCTTAGTCTACTGCAGTCTGATGTCTGGCCCTGTTACAGGTTGAATTGTGTCCCTGTATAATTTGTATGCTGAAGGCTGATATTACAAAATTTGAAGATATGGCCTTGAAGGAGGTAATTAAGGTTAAATTAGGTCATGATGGTGGGACTCTAATTGAATACAACTGGTGTCTTTATAAGAAGACAGAGAGAGAGAGAGAGAGAGAGAGAGAAAGAGAGAGAGAGGAGAGAGAGAGAGAGGCGCCAAGGGTACAGGCACACAGAGGAAAGGCCACGTGAAGACACAGCAGGAGGGCAGTCATCTGCAAGCCAATGCGCGAGGTCTCAAGAAAAACCAAGCCTGTGAGCTCCTTGATCTTGGACTTAGCACTTCCAGAACTGTGAGAAAATACATTTCTGCTGTTAAAGCTACCCAGTCTCTGGCATTTTGGTAGGGCAGCCTGAGCAGACTAATATATCCACCTATATTCAAATGACGCACAACACCAATAAAAGCCGGTCTTGTTATTCACAGAGTTTGCCCTGTGATTGCTGGATAGGTTGCTAGTCAACCATATCATTTAATCTTTACAACGTCCATCAAGAAAGTGATTATCATCCTCATTTCATAGATGAGAAAAGTGAGGCTTGGAGTTTCTAAGTAACTCGCTCAACATCAGGTGGCTAGTTAGCGATGAAACAGATAGGTATCTTTAGCACCCCCAAGTCCAACTTTTTAGACATTCTGCTGAGATTGCTAATAAAAACCATCACCCTATAGAGAGCTTTTGCTCTAAGCCTGGCTACATATCATCTCATTCTGATACTAATAAAAATTCTATGAGATATCTGTTATTGGCCTTATTTTGTAAGGAAAATAACTGGGACCCACAGAGCTCAAACAACTCACTCAAGGTCATACAGCTAGTAAGTCAGAGAGCTGGGATTGGATCCCTGGCTTTTTGTCACCAAAGATCATGAGTTTAGTCAATATGATATTTGAGGTGGTAACAGTTAATATGTTTTGGCCTAAAATCCTAGGGGATAGGAGATTTTAAACACAAACCAGGTGGCCACTGAACCCCCAAATGCCTCAGGGGAAATGTGCCTGGTTTCCTTGAGGAGACCACCATGATGGTGGTTAATGACATGATTAGAAACACGTAGAATAAGGCGTAGAAGTGATAGGATCTCAGAGCTAAGAACACAAAAGGTTGTTTGATCTTCCGCATTTTATCACTGAGAAGTTTAAGTTCAGGGAGGCTAAGGGGTTTGTCTGGAATGAAAATCAGAGCCAGGTGGAACCCTGGCCTCCTGAATCATCTCCAAGCTTCTGCGAACACATATCTTGCTGATTTGCTCATTCCAGGGCTGCCTTTGCATCCCGAGACAAGCTGAATATAAACAGTATGTTAATTCATGCATCTTCTAAGAGATCTAATTTTAATCAGGCAATAAATTCCCCCAGCCAGACACCCTGAGCTTCCTGGTTGTCTCTTTTTGTTCTTTGTTCCTTAGATTGAAGTCTCTCGAGGGCTGAGGT